ATCTAATTTAGATTTAAATGTTAGCTCTGATCATATCAATGGAAAAATTCTTTTTTAACCTTGGGAGGGCAACATTTCTTCCTTCATTGTGGTTTATAGCGCAGTTTTGGAAGCATGTCTGTCTGTGAATGTTGCATGCATGCTGCGCCTCCAACGGCCCTGTCACTACTTCATGGGGAGAGCCTCAGTGATATGTCAGCTTCTCAAAAGGTAGTAAATGAGCCTGCTTAGCTTGGACACCATTTTCCCTTCCCTTTGTGTGTGTCAGTAGTGCAATATTTGTCTCTATTACTTGCAGTGGAGAACTGGACAGAACTAGACATTTAAGCGATGGGAAGGGAAGCAGGTGTGCAGAAAAGGGGAGACAGACACAGTATCCCATAACAGTGCAGACACAAGAAGGAAAACTCARCTACTGATAACTCAAAGCTGCCTGCAGCTGTTCCCAAGAATGTATCAGACTAAGGCTGGCTGGCGGAGGGGGAACAAACAGCAGCACCATCTGCATGTCTGCCATCCAGATCTAATCCAAGTCCGAGTCTCTTAATACTAATTCCCATGAACCAATGCCAAGTTTAGAGGTCACAGCTGGTGATACCAGGCAGTTCTTTCTGGGCTTTTGTTGGACAGTTTGGATCCTTCATGTGTTCAGTTTCACCAGGGGTTTCTTTGTACGTTGTTGAATTGCTGACTGTAGTTCAARTAACAAATCTGGGCTGTGGACCTCGGCACTTCTTTTCCTCTGACTTGATGTCCATGGCACATGGTGATTCATTTAGCAAATACTGACTCCTCTCCTTGCTCCTTCCAGTCATGTAATAGCTCTGGCCTGCCTTTCCCTTGCTTTCTTTTGGTCTGCCAACATAATTACATTAATTTACTGCTGACAAACATTTTAGCAATTTTGAGACACTTCTCCACATTGCTCTATGCATGCTTGCTCTTTCTTAAATCACTGACAGATAATAAACAAGGGGATGATTCTCATCACTTGCCTGCTCTCAGGCAAGTGAGAGACATGACACACATCAAGCACATCACAGTGCTGGCYTGAACATCTGGAGGACAATTTTTTAATTGACAGTATCCAGGGAACTGCTGAACCCCTAGAAATTTCCTATCATCTGTGGTTTGTAGTATGACATGTATAAGCAGCCTCTTTCCTATCACATTCACTGACCTTTTAGAAGTGATCAATAGACCCCAAGAGCTCTTAAGCTACAGCTTCAAACTACTTGACTGAGTCTAGGAAAACATCAGATTTCTACTTTTAAATTTTCAGTGATGAAGAATCTGCAACTTTGATAGTTCCATGGCCTTCATCACCTGAAAACATATCTTTTATTTCTAATCTTGATTTGTCTGAATCCAATTTTTGCCTTGATATATTACCATCTGCTAGACTGAATAGCCTTCCAGAATCAAAATTCTACCTTCCATGGAAGTAGCTGTAGACTGTGACCACTCTGATTTTCTCAGAGCCAAATGGATCATGSTCTTTAAGCTTTTCACTGAGTGTTTTTGTGTTTCTCAACTTCCAAACAATCCTGTGGCTTTCCTCTCAGTGCTCTTCCACTTATCATAATCCTTCTTCCAAGCTGCGTTCACAGGAACGTCACACAGCAGTCTAACAGATATAGAAGAAATTTCCCTATTGCAATTGATATTCTTCCCTTAGGATAAATACCCACAGATCCCAGTGTTATTCCACAAGGATCATGAGTGTTTCTGCTCACTCACCATATTTCTAGTGTTCTAAGGGATGGACACACAGCAATTTTGTACTCAATGAACAAATTATATCATAAGCATCTCCTAACCAGCATATAGGAGAAATGGAGACCACTCACTTCCTCGATAATCCACCTCTGTAACCTTTCCTGCATCAGTTCTTTCTGGAATTAACTAATGAGGATTAATCCAGTAACCACAAAAGCATATGTTCCTTATGCTCTCTCTTACAGTCAGTGAAGAGAATTTGGAACTCTCAGGAAAAGATCCATCCCAAGCTAGCACTGTTACTAAAACTTATGGGATAAACTGTCCTCTGACTGCATCTAGTTCTGCATCTATGCTGCAGATGCAGAACTGCATCTATGAACAATGATGGGACTAGGTCACACAGGACACTTTCAGAAGACCAAAAGATGCTGAGATGATGCCACTAGCACTGGGTAGCCYTGCCACTGGCTATTTTAAAACATAAGCTGTGGCGATGCCCAACTTCTTTATATTCTGCCTGAGAGCTTCATATAACATTATCAGTATAAATCATCCTGTTACCTCTCCCCAAACTTTTGGCACCTGAAAACATGAGCAATGACTGCATTTTATCCAAGTTATTGTTCAAAATAACTAAAAAAAAAAAAAAGAAAAGCCTAAGTGGGACCCTCTTACACAGAATCCATTTACTAAGGTTTCTCTTCTTGTTATTGAACATTTTAAAACTTCTCATTTAATGAGTTTTGAAAACATTTAGTATGCCTGACAGTCATTTCATATAAATTATATCATGTGGTACCAAGTTAAATGCCTTATGAAAGCTGTAATTTGATGCTATTCTGTTTGTCAACTGGATTTCCAAGTTGGTTTGATAAGACTTTCCAGGTTGATTAGCATTAATTATATTTTTTCCTTTAAATTTGTATTAATCGAGTCTCATATGAACTGTTACATTATTTTGTTAAGGTCTCAGTCATCCTGACAGATCTGTAATTACCATCACATTTATATTACAGCAGTATCCTTTTATGCAGACCATGCCTTACTGCAGGTATTCGCATAGAAATCATTTGATGCTTTAAATCATCCCAAATCTTTAGAACATAATTTAGTCAAGGCACAAGAATGTTCTCTGGAAAGCAAAGATCCAGTGATCTGCTTATAAAGCTAGTAAAGCTGAGCATATTTCAAACTTTGGATACAAGGCTCTATGTGTGACACCTTATTATGTTGACGTATATATAGRTATATGCATAAACCCGCCTGGATACAATYCTGTGCCATGCACTCTAGGTGCCCCCGCTTGAGCAGGGGGGTTGGACTAGATGATCTTTAGAGGTCCCTTCCAACTTCAACCCTCCTGTGATTCTGTGATATATGTACATGAGCTAAGATCTTTCTCTATAGATAGATATAGACAGATATATAGAGGACTTAGTGCCTTTGACAGAAGCTGCAGCAACAGTCATTGAAACACAGCAATTCTTACAACGGCCTGCCAACAATTTCTTGCATATCTTTTCTGTTCTTTCACCAAATCTCTATGTCGCATGGAAAAATCATGGATTTCATTGTGGTATTGTGGAAAAGATTGGGGTATTGACAACCTCGCTTTATCTTAAAAGGAACTAGCGCTTGCTCCCTGAGGCTCCTGCACTCAGAAGCTATGTAGGTATCTACTGTCCTTCTGTGTGACTTCTTCGTGTTGTTATTAGAAATAAGTTGACATTTCACATAGACTGGATGAACACAAGACATCTTTGTGCCTCCTACCTTCATTGACAGTATATCCTCTCTCCAGCTTGATTGTACTAAGATGATTGGACTGGAYACCTTCCCTCTCTCTCCCCATTTTCCCCCTTAAATGGCACCTAAAAGACAGGGCCATCTGTGAAGCATCCTTGGAGCCTTTCCAGTGCCATTAGAAAGGGAGCTGGGTTAGGTTTGCTGTCAGTTTTGGGGAATGTGAAAGAACCATGAATTACACATAACAGAACTACACCCCACTGCTCCCTTAAGACACACAAGATGTTGCACTTCCACTGCCGTCCTAATGTGCTCTTGGAGAAGAGGTCTTGTGCAGACATAGGTATTCACAGAGTGCAGCAGGAACCATGCAACACTCACAGCACTGCACAGTATGAACACGGTGCTTTCACAGTGAAATGGGCTTTCAGGTCACTAAAAGGCCCACCAGCATGTTGTAATTTGTGAGTCTCTCGCTAAGACTTTGCAAAGTGCCTCAAGAAATAAACCCAGTAGGTAAGGATTTATTAGAGAAATGTTATAGCCTCTCTTTTTTTTTTTTTTTTGACTTCACTTGGCTATTTTCACTGTAGCTAATGGAGAGGAAAAGAGTATTAAAACAGCAATCTGATCACAATCCTCTTGCATACCTTCAGTTTAGACCTAAAGTCTTCTGGCAGTAATACAATCTTTTAGTGGGAGAGAGGATTTGACTAGGGTCTAAAATAGCAGGAACTGACTTCTCTTATTAAAAAAATAAAAAAGTTTTGGAAAGTGTTTGGTATGACAGAAGCACATATTTTGTGTGTATGTGTGTATGTATACGTATACCTATACATATATTTTTATATATATATATTTTTTCCCGGGGACAAGCGTGTTTCTTCCAACTTTCTCAGCCGCTGTTACTCCCAGAACGTGTTTTGGCTCCTGCYGCTCAGTTCAAGCCTCCCGACGGGCCCTCGCGAAGCTGGCGGGGGTTGACTGGAGCGCGGCCGTCCCAGGCCGGGCAGAGGGGACGGCGCCGAGGTTGGGGGGGGACCGAGCAGTGCCGCCCCCGCGGGCCGCCCCCTTCCCGCGGGCCGCCTCTCCCCCCGCGCCCGCGGCCGCCCCGCCACGAGCGCGGGGCGCTCCCGCCGCCCCACACGCCGGCGGCGGCTCGTGGCGAGCGGAGCGGGGGGCGCGGAGCTCCGCGGCTGGGGCAGCCCCCGCGGAGGGGGCGGAGGTGGCGGCCCGCAGCGCTTCTCACCTTGCAAAGTTTGGCCGCGCAGCAGAAAGTTCAGCATGCAGGAAGTTTGGGGGAAGCGCGCAGAGTAGCTCGGCAGCTTTCGCTGCAGTTTCGGGTGCTCTTTTTTTTTTTTTTTTTCCCCAACATTTATTTTCATGCACACAACTCTCCCGAGCAAGCGAGCAAGCAGCCCGCGCCGGGGAACACCAGCGAGCACCGGCCGCGAGGAGGGCGAGGGAGGCAGCCCCGGCGGAGCGCGCCGCGTTTCTTCGCTGCCGCCCGGTCCCGTCCGCAGCGGGTCCCAATGCAACTGCTCATCCTCCTGCTGCTCTACGCCGTCGTGTGCGCCAACGTCTGCAGCCGCCAGGGCACCACGGCCCCTGCCCAGGGCGGGTCTATAAGAGCCCTGCGCTCCTCCAACCTCCGGCGCGATGGTGAGTGTCGCTCTGCTTTTCTCCTTTGCGCTCAGGGGCTGCTTTTGCGGAGAAACTTACCCCCCGACGGGGCGCGCTGCGCCGTTCCGCGGGGCTCTGCGGGCTTGGCCCCGGGGGGCAGCGGAGCGGGTGGCCCGAGGGGACGGGAGGCAGCGCTGCGGGCGCAGAGCGGGGAGCCGCGGTCCCCAATAACGCGGAGGAGGCTCCCTGGGAGCGGGTGGTGCCGCCGGGGAGCGGGGCCGCCGCCGCCGGGGAGGCTCCGCGGACGGGCCGGGCCGGGCCGGGCCGGCAGCTGCGCGGGGGCGGCGGCMGTTGGGCTGCGGGACACCCCTGAGGCGGCGCCTTCGCCGTCCCGTCGCCCCCCGTCGTGGCGCCCACGCGGGGCCACCCCGAGCTGCTGTGCCCGCGGGGAGCCCCGGGTGGCAGCCCGGACACCAGGCACCCCATGGAAATGGGGGCTTCATCCGTGGCGCCTTCACCCGAGTGGCCTCGGGGATGTTCGTGGCCACCGCCGCGTGCCACACGAGTGCCTCAAGCGCGGGATTCGTGTGGCTGCCATGCGCTGTGGCCCAGGGRTGCATCACTCTGAGGGCTGCCTAAAAATGCCACCGCCGAAGTGGTGCCTGTCAGCCCACTTGTCTGTGGGTAAAGATAAAGCCAAGGCTCCCGGTGTGTGAGGGGAGATGATGGCCCTCGGCTCTGGGAAGAGCTTCATGAGAGGTGCCACTGTGGCACATGGCACTGTGRCTCCCTACACAAGATGCTCTCCCGAACTGTGCTTGGCCTTAACATCACCCAGTTGCCAGAAACTTGGCCCTAAAGTCCCACAGTTGTTGGAACTTATGTTTTWTATATATATATAAACCTTTTTTGAAAATCCAGTCACTTGCATGGAGACATTTCCAAGATCACATGCTACATTTGCCAGTGTTTATTTTTCCAGCATGTATACAATGYATGTAATGGGTATATACTTAATTTAGGAAGATGCTTCCATTTTGGAGCAGCATTAAACTCTTTTTTTGTATGCATTTCATTGTTCACTTGAAGGTATAGAGAAGGTAAATGGATTCTTTTGTTGAGCTGAGATCATCTGGAAATGACACACAACTGCATTTATTTATGTCCCTGAATTCAAATTGAATCTAATATAAAATGYATGTGTTTTCAGTAAGTTCATGCATCCGTTATTCAGCAAGTTCATTGCATCCTTTAAAACTGTTGCACATTTTATCAAGCTTCATGACGAACAAGTAGTCCCAGTTCTTGAGAAGTTTAAGATTGCAGGTCACTGGCATGATCTCTAAACTAAGCTAAGAGCTTCCTTCAAAGTTAGACACCAAATAAGTTTTTTTTTTTTTTTTATAGAAAATTGCAATGCTTTTTTTTTTTTTAATTTACTTAAAACTTTAGAACTTTGATCTCCTCTTCAGAATCAATGAAGAAATGAGTAATGCCATAGCTTATTACCTGTGTTGTGGATGAGCGTTTTACTGCCCAGAAAAATGCTTTCCATAGTGACATTGTTTCTTATCTTGGAGTGCCCAAGAAGAACAAGTCCATGTGAAATGATGAGTAAATAGTTTCCTTCCCAGTGATTATCTAACTTCACAATGAAGCTTTGTAACTTTAAAACTAGGTTTTCACAACTGCTCGTGACTAAAATTTCTGGGTACCAGCTGGTCCGGTACTGTGGTATTAACAGCAGAAGTTCTTGAGATGCTTGTTTGCTGTTCAGCAATTGACTTTTGCTAGTCAGTCCCACAGCCTGCAAACACAGCAGAGCTCACCTATGCACAAGTGAGGCACCTTTGCATTCCTCCCGCAGGAATGATCCATGCAGTGGGTAGGTAACCCAGACATTGGTGAGGAACCTTCCTGCAGAGCCCCTAGCAAACAAGGGAGTGCAGCCTTGTGCTCTCCCCGCACTGGCAAACCCAGGGGGTGCTGTTTCCCTGCAAAGGACAGCGCGTCCTGGTAGTGCCAGCTGGGCAGCTGGTCACAGCTTCTAGCAGGACCGTTGCTGATAGGCATGATTCAACTCAAATGAGCAGAACTGTTGCTTGAATTTGTTGACTGAAAGTCTGTATTTGTGCAGCCAAAGGTTATGAGCTGTATTCCAAATGTTGCATGCATGTAACTAGCTCACAAGCAAAGTGTTTATAGACTCAATTTGGCTATAGGCCACTAGAAGTATTTCTGTCTTCTCTAATTTTCAGTGCTGTTCGTGCCTTGTTTTAGTCTGAGATGCTGATATGGAATAGCATTAAAGACATGTGGATTGCATTGCCGAGAGACAAACAGTGTTTTTTGCTTTGTAAATATTTGCAGAAATGACAATTTGAAATAGGATCTAAGAACACACAATACACTGGAGGTCATATGTTCCAACAATGTTTCTCAAAATGCACAGCAGGGATAAAACCTAATTTAATATTATGTCTTGGGTTGATGATCATGATTATTGTATTGTGGAATCATGAGAGATACTGAAGAGGAAGTCAGGCCTCTTCACCTCTTAAAAAAAAAAAAAAACCACACACACATTGTGTCTTGGCAAATCCAAGGCCACCTGCCCATTTTATTAAAAAAGAAAACAATACTTTGGATTCCTGTTCTATGTTATCTCCAAGGAGGACTGATACTAAACACACATTTTTAATATGGAGACGTGTTACATCTAGCCAAAACAACCCTTTATACTGTGCAAGATTCACAGTTGTGTTAGCCTAAAAGATGTTGGCCTCTTTATAATTGCACTTAGCTAAGGCCAAGATTCCTCTGAAAAGAGATATATAGATGAAGGGCAACAGATATAAAAAAGTGCTATGTAATGATCACCAAACCTAACCAGATGGTACTTCTGCTGAAGATACAAAGAATATAAATAACGTGCTTACGAGACACATCGTTCTGTGCTAACTGAAGGACAAGCACTGATGACTCAGCTGTCCAGTTCAGCAGTAATCAATTTTTAAAACTGTTCTATTGCCAGCCACTTTTATAGCACCTATRATGGTATTTATTTAAAGTGTTTTTCTGTCATTATCCGTGAAGTCTTTTGAAGTTCATCAGAATATCAYGCAGAGTGATTTCCAGATGATTCTAGTGTTCTCTTTGCCTCAGTTTCCTACTCTACAGTATGGACAATACTGCCAGAAATAACCCCAATTCCTTTTTTCCCTCATATTTTTGTTGTCTATGTGTAGTTGTAGATGTCTGTGGAGATTAAAAGTACTAAATAATACTGTTTAATGAAACAGAATTGCTCTTCCTTATCTGTTACTGAAAAATATTTGTATGAACACTTAGTGTGGGTAAGTATGCCTAGTTACTATGAATATTTCAAACCTCAAAATCCAAAAGTTAGAGAAAAGGCAGCAAAAAAAGGAAGAGATAGCATAGTGTCAAATCATATCAGTATGTAAACAATGGAAAGTTATGTATATTCATTCTACTCTGAAGTGGATTTGAAACCATAACATCAGACTTCTTGAGATAAGATTATGGTCTTGTGTGGTTGTAATTTGAATAAAAAAATAATAACTACCAAACTTCACTTATGCACCACCAACATAAAAAAAGAAAACTTGTACTTGATCATCGTGGGGAAATGGCAATAGCTTTTGGGTCTGTGATGTCCAGTGCAAAGGCATGTGTGCCATTAACTCTACCTTTCCCTGTGTTATCCAGGGCTGAAACACAGGGAAGAACATTTTATAATGTGGTAGTGATTTCTCACCCAAGAGATGTTAACTGTACTCTTGGGAGGAGACGAGAATGGACCTTTCTCATACAGCTTTGAAGTAGCACTTGTACCAATAGAGGCATATGAACCTCAGTTTCAGAATGCATTTATTAAGTTCTTCCATAATTGGGTTGTAGATACACTTTAAAGGACTCTGATAATATGAAAAGCTGAAAAATAGTTAAAAGATATTTGCTTACATCATTCTGTTTTTTTTTTTCTAACTTTCTCAGAAAACGGATATTCTGGTCTGGATCTGAACAAAGAAAAAAAAAGTCCTAGTAGAAGTTTGCCTGTACTATACTTTTGTTGTTTATCTTTGGTGATGTCTCTTATCTGTGTAACTAACTGTTTAGACTGAAATAACACTGACCATTACCTGGCAATTTCAAGTCTTGCTCAACAACAATSAGAATGGTCGAGTTCTTCAAAGGAGCTTCAAAACATGTTCTGTCAGGTAGATGTGCTCTATCGGGTAGATATGTATCACCTAGTTGAAGCCTCTTCACTTGTGAACTACCTGGCTAGTGTCCCAACACTTATAGTTTCTATTTGTTAAAATATACTTGTGCAAGTCTTAATTAAGAAAATTAAATATTAAAAAGCTTATGAGCAAACCTAATAATTCTCATGCTTTGACTCTTAGAAATTGAATAATACCGAAAATACTAAAATAATACATTTTCTTTACTCTGTGATCCCACAGAGAGGTTGTTTTTTATAGAACACCTTGGAATAGGAATAAATATGAAAATTACAGAGAATTATTAGTGCCCTGATTATGCCTAGTTTCATATGCTTAGCTTGAGCATCTGGGTAATTCTATTAAAGTCAAGTATTTCAGTCCTGCAGGAGTGTATAATAATGAAGCTCTTGAGAGCGTATATCAAAGTCTAACTGTCTGGTTAAGCTTACAATGACACAAGAATATGGGTATTTCCAGAACCTGTCTGATGCTCTATTCAAACAAAATATATAGACAATGTGTAATCCAATCATATATAATGTGTTGTAGATTTTATATGTTCTCTATTAAAGTATATATGCACATATATATAAATCAAAGGGCAGGGACAGGGAAATTAAAACAGGCACACCATATATAATTTACGCGGTTAGGTGTTTAACATTAAAGTCATAAAGTAATTGTACTCAGTGATTTTTTTGGAATACTAAAAAAAGTGTAATAGCACTTTTCAAATTTTTGTTTGAACAGTAAATTATAAAGACAAACATTTGGTCTTAARTATTT